AATCTTTAACTCGGTATCAGATGCTACACGGAGTGAAAAGTGCAAGCACCGGTTACCAGGCAATGCCATGTCTTGGGAGATGATCCAATGGGAAGGAACTCATCAAGGTCGAAGGTGTAAAGGAATACGTTGAATGCTAAATAATGACAACATGAAGATAATAGTGGGATAAGTTGGTTCTGTTGAGAAACATAATTCAAAGGCAAAGTTATTGACCCTTGCATCAAATAGCAGAAGTAGCTAGCACCTGGAGACCAGGAAAGCTAATATGAGGTAGTTGGTGGCAAGTTAGAAGTAAATGACAAGTATGATATTCTTATGATGGCAAACATGGTATCCTAGTAATGACAAGCTAGTGTTGACGCATGACATGAAGTGGTAACTTGTATGAGGTTGACTCCAAAGATATGAGTTATAAGAAGTTCTGGAACTGAAGCCCCATCTTCCAATGCCGCAGCCCAGTCGAAGTCAGCTAGAGGTGCAACCAGGGAAAAGTCAGGTGAAGAGAAGATTCCATCTATAACAGGAGATCGAGCCAAGCAGTCCAGAGTGGAGAAGTTTTGCTAGGCAAGTTTGTTATAGAAGACGCGACGGAAGAAGTCAGACAAGAAGAGAAGACCGCGCAACCTATCTTCTTGCTAGCCACCTCGAATCTCGGGGACGAGATTCTTGTAAGGGGGGTGGATTTGTCATGTCCTGATAAATTCATCCCGAAATAAAAATCATTCCCTAAAAGGAATAATAGAATAAATTAAAATTCGAAAAGAAATTGGCAAACACTAAAATACGTACAAGAAAAATTCGAATATGGCCCGGAGAATTTTTGTTAAATTCTCCTTGGTCTAAAATGAGCCCTCAAATTTTACTTGAATTTTCAGAGCACCGGAAATATTTATTAAGCAACAAAAAAAATTATCAAAGTTTAATAAAAAGAAAACCTAAAAATAATCCTCCTTTCCTTTGGGCCAAGTCTAGCCCAAAGCCTCCCTCTCTCTCCCCCGGCCCGCGGCGGAAGTCCTTCCCTCCTCCCTTTCTTTTTCCCTCCCCCTCCCGGCCCACTCCCTCCTCCTCCCTCTCCCTCCCGGGCTGCCTCTCCCTCCTCTCCTCCTGGGCCGCCTCCGGGCCCAAGCCGAGGGGCGCCCTCCCGCCCGTGCCGCGCACGTGCGCGCGCTGACCGCGCGCCCGCGTGGGGCCCACGTGCCAGGTCGTCTTCCTCCTCCCGCCCGGCCTCCTCCTCTCTCCTCCGTGAACCCTAGCCATTTCCTCCCTCAAATCCGCGCGATTCAAACCGGGAATTCCAAAATTGATTAGGGGGAATTAATCCCCTTTCCCTCCTCTCTCTTTCCCCCTTAATTCCCCCTTGAATGGCGTCCCCAATCGCCGGGAATGGACGCGCCAACTCCGGCCGCTTTCCATGGCTGCCGGCCGCCATTTCCGCCGCCGTTCCCCACTCCTCCTGTGCTCGGCTCGCTTCCCTCCGCTATAAAACGGAATCCCCTCGCTCCGTTCTATCGTTTTAGCCCCCTCCAGCGATCTCCCGTGGTCCCTAGCCACCTCCCCGCCGTCGTCCCCTCTCTCCCGTGCCGCCGGCCGTCTTCAGCCGCCCCTGCCGCCGCGTTAGCACGCCGGCCGGCCGTGCCGTCGCCTCCTCCAGCGTCGCAGCCGCCTCCTCTTCGCCGGCCTGCCCTCTGTTTCCCGCGAAGACCTCCGGAAGTGCATCCCCGCCGGCAACAGTGGCGTTGCCACCACTGTTCCGCCTCCGGCCGCCTCTGCCGCGTCCCCTGTGCGCCGGCCGACGTCGCCACCACCTCTCCCGGCACCGGAACGCCATCCTCTTCCCCGGCCAAGCCACGGCGTCGCCCGTATTTCGTCGGAACGCCGTTGCGCGCGCCGCCTCTCCCTCGGTCTCGTCGGCACCCACTCCGGCAGCCCCTTTCGCCGTGCCAGTGCACCGGCCGACGTCGCCGTCTCCACCTCCGGCATCGCAGCGGCAAGGTCGCCCTCGGCCTCGCCTCCCCTTCGACCGAACCCCTCCGCGCTCCATCGTCGTCGTCTCCGTTCATCCTCGTTGACGACTCCTCCGGTCGGTCGTTAGTCCTCGCCGGCTCGTCGTCTCGCTGCGCCGCCACCCTCGTCGTCATCGTACCGGCGTGTTCCGCGCCGTCCTCGTCTCTGTGCAGCTGCTGCCGTCTGCCCTCATCACCTCCTCGCCGGTTCCTGTCGTCGTCCTCTCGTCATTCCTGGTTGTCGTGGCGTTCGTCCCTCCGTCAAGCCGTTCTCGTCCGTCGTCCGCGTCCGTCAAGTGTGCCGCTGCAGCCCCGTCGTCGTCTTCGTCCTTGCCTCCGCGTCGCCAAGCGTTGCGCCGGCCGCGTCTCGCCTTCGTCCAAGGATCGCCGCCGAAGTCGTCCCCTCGCCTTTCGTCTCCGTCATTCCTGGCCGTCTCTGCCGCGCCCGTTCGTCGTTGTCGTTCCCTCGCCTCGTCGCGTGGTGGTAAGGATCTCTCCTTCGCTGCCCCGTCTTCGTCCTTTCGGTGTCGCCCGTGCCCGTTGTGCGGTTGTCGACCCCGGTACTCGTGTACCGGTGTCGGTAGTCGTTCGCTTGTGCGTGTGGTGACCGTGTTAGTGTGCCCGCTCGGTAGCCGCGTGGTTTCCACGTGTGCAGCCCGTGTGGTGTCTAGTGGAGTCCGTTTGTCGGCCACTCGCCTCGGTTGACACACGGGATCTGCTTCTGTCGACCAGTGGACCATCTCTGTGTACTCGGTCTACCGTGGTCCTTTAGGTTATCATGTGGGGTCCGCATGTCAACGGCGCAGCCTTCCTGTCTTTTCCAGGCTAGCGCTTACACATGTTTTATAGTTGCAAAACCTAATTATAATAATCCGCAAATCTCCAAGTAACAGCATTAAACTTCGGATGATCATATCTTGGTCATACGAGCTCCGAATCGATCCGTTCAAGTCTCCTAATGTTTGTTATAACCTAAAGAACCCTGTGCTTTCTTTTTATGTATTGTTATTGCTTCTTTATAGGCTTGTAGCTTTGCTTGTGTGCTTCGCGTAGTCTTCGTCGTTCCGGAGGTTCCCGAAGCGTGGTTTGCGGTCGTCGCCGAAGGTTCGGAAGGCCGTTATCTCTGAGCAAGGCAAGTCACATCATCCTTGAACATATTGAATCCCAGTTTATAAAATTATTTTGATTTAAATTATTGCATTATCGCTTTATTTAAATTCCCGCGTTATCACTGTTTTATTTAGCCATGCCTATTTACCTTTGTTATGACCTTATTATTATTGCTATTGTTATTATTAGCTTGTTCACCCTAGGATAAACAAAACCCCAACTAGTGGGTACTCTATTCATGGTTCCACTAGTATGAATTTAGGTAGATGCTTCGCTGATTAATTAGGCAACATTAGGTGGTTTTATAACTTTAGACTCTGGGAATTCTCATATCATTTGGACACTATGGAATGGTTGGCTTATGTTGGAATTGGACACACACCTCCCCCTCTATTCAAAACCCCCAAAATGGTTTTAGGCTGGGCTCGAGGTGCGTGGTTGGGTTTTGTTAGTCGTACCTCGAGTACTATAAGGATTAAGCTCGGGCCTCTGTTGCAAAGCACTACCGTACTTCCACATGTCTAGTGGGTAAGGCTTAGTTTGTGGCTTAGTCTGGTTATAAACAAAAGTACACGGATGGAGATGGACGAAGTCGGGGGTCGATGGACATCTCTAGGACTAATGAAGGCTACACGAGCTGCGGCCCGGTAGTCGAGATGTCATGGCACAGGGCTGGTGTCCTGCTGCTAGGTGCTCAATCCTGCCTGCCTGTCCCGGAGGTTCCGGCCGTAGGTGGGGTTGGGTCGGTACTCTTGTTTATGGCTAGGATGGGTTGGGAACTATGTCACGTCTTCCGTCCGTATACCGTGGTGGTATGTGGCACGTGGTTACACGTGAGGAAGATGTGTCTTGTGGGTAAAGATGTACACCTCTGATCAGAGTATAACCTATTCGAATAGCCGCGCCCTCGGTTATGGGCAAGCCTAGCAATGTACCCAAGTTAGTGTTTTAATTCTTAAAATTTGCTTAACAACTAAAATGTGGAATGGTTGGCCTGGGTTGGCTTGGGACGAGATGGGACCCAGGGTCGGGTTGCCAGTTCAGTCTGAATCATCGTAGGCCTTGGGTTAAGGCAGGTTCGTGAGGGTTCACGGCCTTGATTAATAACACTGTGTAACTCTAGGATCGTCTTTATATAATGGCTTTGGGCAACTAAGTGACTTTTAAATGCTGTTTTCTACAAAACTTAACCCCTATATTATTACCCCTTGTACCCTCTTGCATTAATCATGCATCTGCCGGTGTGACTTGCTGAGTACTGTGGTTGTACTCATTCTTGCTCAATCTTCCCCCCCCCTTCAGTAAGAGAAGCTTTGGAGAAGAAGTCTTAGGTGGAGTCCTGGCTTATACCCCAGTTGAGCGCCTGTGAAGATGGAGCCGTAGGCCCACTAGTCCGCTGCTGGTTATTTTTTAATTGTCAGGCCTTAAGTGCCTTTGTAATAATGTAAATATTATCGATATAATAAAGATGTGTCTTTTATATCATGTTTGTGTGGTGTACCCCGGCTTTTCCTGGGACGGGGATTAATACACTAGCGTTCGGGAAAATGTATTTTTCTCGGTCGCGACAGTCACACTGAGATATAAAGTGAGTGACGAGTCATAACATTATCTATCTTGCTAACCATCAAGTATCTGTGATGGGCAATAAACTTACTTTGACGATGGTATGCAGGGACATCTGTGGAGGCACATCACGTAACATCCAAACGACATGACTCACTCTGATCCTAATAGAATATCCAACCAAAACAAACACTCTAAAGCAACCGATAAGGAATTCAAAGAAAACCCATCCATCGCATCTATAAATAGACAAGCACAATGTAAACCCCCTTCATCCTTCTCACAACTCAAACATTACAGCGAAAGCATAACAACTAGAATCCCACCACAACGAAGATCATTTTCTTCTTTGCTCTCCTTGCTATTGCTGCATGCAGCGCCTCTGCGCAGTTTGATGCTGTTACTCAAGTTTACAGGCAATATCAGCTGCAGCCGCGTCTCATGTGTCACGACCGGAAATAACCCAACGGGCGTTCCTTACGTGAGTGCATTATTCCTTGTCCCAGGAGGCAAGGTACACCAAAAGTTGATACAGTTCAGAGTTCAACAAGCGGAAGCGTAAATAGTTAATTTATTACATGGGCAGCGAAGGCCCAGCACACACAAAGACAAACGAGAAACAGCGGAAGACTAGGGCGACGACCACAGGCGCTTGACGGTAGGCACGAGCTAGACACCAAAACCTTCATCTTCCAGAGACTCCTCTTCTGGGTTTGGGAAAAAAATTGAGCAAGACTGAGTACAACCACCGTACTCAACAAGACACACCCACAAGTGCATAATAAATGCAAGGGAGTACAAGGGAGTTATAATATAAAGGGTTAGGGTTGCAGTAAACAGCATTTAAAGATACTTAGTTGCTCAAAGCTATTTTGTAAACACGATTCTAGAACTATACAATATTATTTATCAAGGCCGTGAACCCACACGAACCTGCCTTAACCCAAGGCCTACGATGATTCAGACCGAACCGGCAACCCGACCCTGGGTCCAAGCTCGTCCCAAGCCAACCCAGGCCAACCATTCCACATTTTAGTTGTTAAGCAGGTTTTAAGAATTAAAACACTAACTTGGGTACATTGCTCGGCTTGCCCATAACCGAGGGCGCGGCTATTCGAATAGATTATACTCTGATCAAAGGTGTACATCTTTACCCACAAGACACATCTTCCTCACGTGCAACCACGTGGCACATACCACCACGGTATACAGACGGAAGACGTGACATAGTTTCCAACCCATCCTAGCCATAGACAAGAGTACCGACCCAATCCCACCTACGGCCGGAACCCCCGGGACAGGTAGGCAGGACTGAGCCCCTAGCAGCAGGACACCGGCCCTGTGCCATGACATCTCGACTACCGGGCCGCAGCTCGTGTAGCCTTCATTTGCCCTGGAGATGTCCATCGACCCCCGACTTCGTCCATCTCCATCCGTGTACTTTTGTTTATAACCAGACTGAGCCACAAACTAAGCCTTACCCACTAGACATGTGGAAGTACGCTAGTACTTTGCAACAGAGGCCCGAAGACCGGTCCTTATATGGCCGAGGTGCTACTATCAAAACCATGCACCCCGAGCCCAGCCTAAAACCATTGTTGGGGATTTTGAATAGAGGGGGCGGTGTGAATCCAATTCCACAATACTCCAACAATTCCAAAGTGTCCAGGTGATATGAATATCCCAAAGTCTAGAGTTGTAAAACCGCCTAATGTTACCTAATTAAATAGCGAAGCATCTACCTAAAATCATACTAGTGGTACCATGAGTAGAGTGTCCACTAGTTGGGGTTTTGTTTATTCTAGGGTGAACAAGGAAATAATAACAATAACAATAATAAGGTCATAACAAAGGTAAATAGGCATGGCTAGATAAAACAGTGATAACGCGGGAATTTAAATAAAGCGATAATGCAATAATTTTAAAGCAACATAATTTTATAAACTGGGATTCAATATGTTCAAGGATGATGTGACTTGCCTTGCTCGCTTTCCCAAACGCCGGCTTCAACTTCCGAAGCTGCAGCGTCTACACGACCAACGGAAAAGAAAAGGCTTTTACTCTAATAAACTCCATATAACAAGCAGAAACAAAGCACAAAAATGGGTTCTTGACTTCTTAAGGAAAAATTAGAGACTTGAACGGTCCAATTCCGAGTTCAAATGGCCAAGTTATGGCCATTTGAAGTTTATATGCTCTTTAAATGAATATTTGCGAATTTCTTCATTTAAATTTTAATTTAAAATGGATTTATTGCGTCAGCCGAGGGGAGGGGCGCGCGGACCGGGTCCACGGGGGTGGGGCCCACGCGGCAGCCCCACGGTCCACGGTGGACCGGGCGCACCCGGGCTCACACCGGCCGGCGCCGTGGGTCCCACGCGTCAGCCGCACCCGAGGACGCGGGCGGCTGACAGCCGGGCCCCACGCGGCAGCCGCACGGTGCGCCCGAAGGCGGCCACGCCGGCGCAGCGGCGGGAGGCGGCGCGCCCTCACCCCTATGGTCGCCGGCGGCGGCCATAGGCACGGCGGAGCGGCGGCCGAGAGAGGGGAAGGGAAGGGGGAAAAGAAGCGGCGGTCCACGGCTCACCCCGGGTCGACGGCGACGACGGAAACGGCGACCGGAGCGGAGGAAGGCGGCGGCGCGGCTCGGGTGGACGGGGTCGACGGTGCTCCGGCGGTCGGCGAGCGAAACGGAGGGGTGGACGAGGTCGCCGGGGATGCGGTGGAGCCGAAGGTGGCGACGCCGAGGCGGGAGGTGGTCCGGGGCGACGACGGCGGCGGACCGGAGCTCGGCGGTGACGGCGGAGAGAGAGAACGACGGCGCGAGCTCGATTCCGACGGGGAGAGAGGGCGGCGAGTGGCGGAAACGGTGGAGGGAGGCACGGGGAAGGTTTATATAGGATTGGGAGGGGGAGGGAGCTGCCGGACGAGGGGGAAACGGGCGCGGAAGATCCGGTCGCCATTGATGGCGCCGGCGAGGTTAGGGGAGAGGTTTCCAAACGAATCCGAGGGAGAGAGGGAGGGAAAAATGGGGGGAAAGAGGGAGGGAATCACGGGGAATATTTCCCCCCACTTTATTGCGCGCGTGGATGGCGGGAGGCGGCGGGATTCGCGGCGGCGGCGGCGCTAGGGCACGGGCGAGGCGGCGGGAGCGGCGGGAGGAAGGGGATGACGGGTGGGCCCCACCCGTCAGCGAGGGTGGCGGGCGGGCCCGCCCGTCAGCGGCACGCGCGCGGGGAGGAGGCCGAATGGGCCGCGGAGGAGAGGAGAGAGAGGGAGAGAGATGGGCCGAGCCGGCCCAAGAGGGGGAGGAGGGGGAAAAGGACTTTTTTTAGGGTTTTTCTTTTTATAAAACCTTTTTAACTTTGTTTATTTCTTCTTAATTATTATTTGTGCTCTGAAAATTCCACTAAAATTTATTTACGCATTTTAGGCTTTTAGGAAATATACAAAAATCCTCCAAGCCTTATTTGACTTTTAACTTTGCACATTTTAATTGTTGGAGGCTTTCACACGGATTTTAATTATTCTAGGCATAATTTCGGGGATGTATTTTAGAGTCGTTTTGGGACGCGACATCATGCTGCAGCAACAGATGCTTAGCCCAAGCGGTGAGTTCGTAAGGCAGCAGTGCAGCACAGTGGCAACCCCCTTCTTCCAATCACCCGTGTTTCAACTGAGAAACTGCCAAGTCATGCAGCAGCAGTGCTGCCAACAGCTCAGGATGATCGCGCAACAGTCTCACTGCCAGGCCATTAGCAGTGTTCAGGCGATTGTGCAGCAGCTACAGCTACAACAGTTTGCTGGCGTCTACTTCGATCAGACTCAAGCTCAAGCCCAAGCTATGTTGGCCCTAAACTTGCCGTCAATATGCGGTATCTACCCAAGCTACAACACTGCTCCCTATAGCATTCCCACCGTCGGTAGTATCTGGTACTGAATTGTAGCAGTATAGTAGTACAGGAGAGAAAAATAAAGTCATGCATCATCGTGTGTGACAAGTTGAAACATCGGGGCGATACAAATCTTAATAAAAATGTCATGCAAATTTAAACATAATGCCTCTGTAAGGATAAATCCTAGTACATTGTTGAAATTAATTATCATCACCGCCTACTATGGTTGCATTTACAACTTTACGATGTGTTCCTACATTTGGTTCTAAGCTACTATGGCTACTCGACGTGAACGGAGTGTGTTAAGCAGGTCAATCTTTTCATTTCGATCAGAACAAAGTCAAAACGCATGTGGCAAATAGTATATACCCTACAACGTAATCCTACACCATAGGCAAATCATTGCCAATACGTGCTAGCCGAACTGTTGTGAGAAGCAATGCCTCCTAAGTCACGATTCCGTTCCCTTTCGTGATTTTTTCTTTCTAACGTGTTTTTTAACTCCTCGGCAAAATAAACGCAAGCTAATCTTTCAGATTTTTCTCCAAAGTGGTCATAAAATCAATGACGGCAAAATAAACATTGTTGAAATTAATTATCATCACCATCTACTATGGTTGCATTTACAACTTTACGATGTGTGCCTGCATTCGGTTCTAAGCTACTATGGCTACTTGTCGCGCCCGGAAAAATACCTTTTCCAGAACGCTAGTGTGTTAATCCCCGTCCCAGGAAAAGCCGGGGTACACCACACAAACATGATATAAAAGACACATCTTTATATATCGATAATATTTACATTATCACAAAGGCGCTTCAGGCCTGACAATCAAAAATAAACAGCAGCGGACTAGCGGGCCTACGGTTCCATCTTCACAGGCGCTCAACTGGGGTATAAGCCAGGACTCCACCAAGGACATCTTCTCCAAAGCTTATCTTACTGAAGGAGGGAAAGATAGAGTAAGAATGAGTACAACCACAGTACTCAGCAAGCCACACTGGGAGATGCATGATTAATGCAAGGGGGTACAAGGGGATAATAATAATATGGTTGGATTTTGCACTAAAGAGCATTTAAAAGACACTTAGTCGCTCAAAGCTATTTTGTAAACACGATCCTAGAGCTACACAATATTATTAATCAAGACTGTGAACCCTCACGAACCTGCCTTAACCCAAAGCCTACGATGATTCGGACCGAACTGGCAACCCGACCTCGGTCCCAGCTCGTCCCAAGCCAACCCAGGCCAACCATTCCATATTTTAGTTGTTAAGAAAATTTTAAGAATGAAACCACTAACTTGGGTACATTGCCAGGCTTGCCCATATCCGAGGGCACGGCTGTTCGAATAGATTATACTCTGATCAGAGGTGTACATCTTTACCCACAAGACACGCCTTTACTCTGCATTCCATTGCAATTGGAACCCATAAAAAAAACGTGACATAACCCTTTACCCATCCTAGCCGTGAACAAAAGCACCGACCCAACCCTGCCTACGGCCGATATCCCGGGACAGGCAGGCCAGGATTGAGCCCCTAGCAACAGGATCTAGACCGGGTGCGCCACACGCATAGGGGTGAGACCACCCGTGTACTAGTCCAGTGCCATGGCATTTCGACTAACAGACACCAGCCCATGTAGCCTTCATTTGCCTAAACATCTCGATTACCGATCCGCAGCTCGCGTAGCCTTCATTTGCCTCAGAGATATCCATCGTCGCAACGACTTCATCCATCTCTATCCGTGTCCTTTTGTTCAGGACTAGACTGAGCACCGAGTTAAGCCTTACCCATTAGACATGTGGTTAGTACAGTAGTGCTTTGCAACAGAGGCCCGACCTTAATCCTTATATTGGCCGGGGTGCTACTTCCCACAACTGGCATGCACCCAAACCCCACCGGAAAACAGGTTTTAGGGGTTTTGAAAGAGGAAGAGAGGGGTATGTCATATTCCACCATAAGCCAACCGTTCCATAGTATCCAAGTGATATAAGAATTCCCAAAGTCTAAAGTTATAATACCACCTATTGTTGCCTAATTAATCAGCGAAGCATCTACCTAAATTCATACTAGTGGAACCATAAATATAGTACCCACTAGTTGAGGTTTTATTTGCCTAGGGTAAGCAAGGTGATAATAACAATTGCAATAATAAGGCTATAACAAGGATTAATAGGTAATGCTAAATAAAACAGTGGTAACGCGGGAATTTAAATAAAGCAGTAATGCAATAATTCAAATCAAAATAATTTTATAAATTGGGATTCAATATGCTGAAGGATGATGCGACTTGCCTTGCTCAGAGAGAACGGCCTTCCGAACCTTCGGCGACGACCGCGAACCACGCTTCGGGAACCTCCGGAACGACAGGAGCTACGCGAAGCACACAAGCAGAGCTAAACCCTATAAAGAAGCAACAACAATACATAAAAAGAAAGCACAGGGTTCTTTAGGTTATAACAAACATTAGGAGATTTGAATGGTTCCATTCAAAGTTCGTATGACCAAGATATGATCATCCGAAGTTTAATGTTGTTGCATGGAGATTTACGGATTATTGTAATTAGGTTTTGCAACTAAAATATGTGTAAGCTCTAGCCTGGAAAAGACAGGAAGGCTGCGCTGTTGACATCCGGACCCCACATGTCAACCTAAGAGACCACAGTGGACCGGGTACACAAAGACGGTCCACGGGTCGACGGAAGCGGACCCCATGTGTCAACCGAGGCGAGTGGCCATCAAACGGACTCCACCAGACACCACGCGGGCTGCACACGTGGAAACCATGCGGCTACCGAGCGGGCACACAAACACGGTCACCACACGCACCACGAACGACTACCGACACTGGTACACGGGTACCGGGGTTGACAACCGCACAACGGGCACGGGGCGACACCGAAAGGACGAGGACGAGGCAGCGAGAGGAGGCACCCTTACCACCACGCGATGAGGCGTGGGAACAACGATGGCGAATGGGCACGGCGGAGACGGCTCGGGGACGATGGAGGCGAAAGGGGAGGGAACGACTTCAGCGGCAATCCTTGGACGAAGGCGAGACGCGGCCGGCGCAACGCTTGACGACGCGGAGCCGAGGACGAAGACGACGACGGGGCTGCAGCAACCTTGACGAAACGCGGGCGGTGAACACGATCGGCTCGACGGAGGGACGAACGCCACGACGACCGGGAACGACGAGAGGACGACGATGGGAACCGGCGAGGAGGCGACGACGAATGCCGGCGGGTTCGGCCGAAGGGGAGGCGATGCCGAGGACGACGTGGAACACGCCACTGCGATACCGGAGGAGGAGACGGCGACGTCGGCCGGCGCACGGGCGACGAATAGCAGTCGGCCAGAGACGGGGAGGTACTGGACGCCGATGAGGAGGCCACTCCGGCGAGCTTCGGGCGAGGAGGAGGTGATGCCGGAGATGAGGACGGCGTCGCAGAGGCGAGGGAGGTGGTGGCGACGTCGGCCGGTGCAAAGGCGAGGCGGCACAGGCGGTTGGAGGCGGAGCAGTGGCGGCAACACCACCGTTGCCGGCGGGGACGCACCTCTAGGGGTTTCCGCGTGAAACGGAGGCGACGCCGGTGGAGGGGAGGCAGCTGCGACGCCGAGGGAGGAGACGGCGCGGCCGACCAGCACGCGGGCGAGGCGGTAGGGGCGGCTGGAGATGGCCGGCGGCACGGGAGAGTGAGGAGGACGGCGGGGAGAGGTGGTGAAGCCACGGGAGAGCGCGGGAGGGGGTAAAAATTAGAGAACGGATCTAGGGGGTTCCATTTTATAGGATAGGGGAGGGAGCCGGGCACGAGAGAGGTGGGAACGGCGGCGGAATTTGTGGCCGGCGGCCGGGGAAGACGCGTCCGTTCCCGACGATTGAGGGCGCCATTCAAGGGGGAAAATGGGGGAAACCAAAGAGGATTGATTAGGGAATAAAAGCCCCCAATCAATTTGGAGTTAAAGCCCTTGATTCGAGCGGATTTGGAGGAGGATGAGGGATAGATTTGAACGGGAGAGATGAGAGGAGACCGACGGCTGGAGGTGGGAGACGGGTCCGACAGGTGGGACCCACCTGCAAGGCGCGGTCAACGCACGTGGGCGCGCGCGTGACAGGCGCGTGCGGCGCGGCCTGGGGAGGCTCGGCTGGGCTGGGACACGGCCCAGGTAGGAGGGGGCAGGGCGGCCTGCGCCGGGCAGACCGGGAGGGGAGGGAGGATTGGAAGGAGTGGGTCGGGAGGAGGAGGAGAGGCCCGGGAGAGGAGGGAAAGAGAGGGAGGAGAGGGAGACTTTGGGCTAGGCTCGGCCCAAAGGAGGAAGGAGGGATTATTTTTAGTTTTTCTTTTTAGTAAACTTTGATAATGGCTGTTGTTGTTTAATAATTATTTCCAGTATTCTGAAAATTCAAGTAAAATTTGAGGGCTCCTTTTAGACCAAGGAGAATTTAACGAAAATTCTTCGGGCTACATTCGAAATTTTCTTGTACGCATTTTAATGTTTGCCAATTTTTTTTCAAATTTTAATTAATTCTATTATTCCTTTTAGAGAATGATTTTTATTTCGGGATGAATTTATCAGGACGTGACACTACTCAACGTGAACGGAGTGTGTTAAGAAGGTCAATCTTTTCATTTCGATTAGAACAAAGTCAAAACGCATGTGGCAAATAGTATATACCCTACAACGTAATCCTACACCATATAAAACATGCCCAACCTATAGCGGTTATAAATCCACTATTCAAAATGTAAGTATCGATGGGACAATTTGTCATATCATTGTTAATTCAATCTTACCTTGTCACCGAAACAATACGCTCTGCGTAACATGAAGTTAAAATTTTCATATTTGAAGGCCTGGTCACGGAAATATCAATTTATAAGTTAAAAACATTAAGCATTACTGCCTCAATGAAATTCATATATGCTTAATAGTCCACGTTAAATCCCATGCATATCGGTTTCATTTGTTTTCACCTAAAGTCACAAAATATAGTTGTTGTTCTTAAAGGTCATAATATCTACCCAAGCTACAACACTGCTCCCTATAGCATTCCCACCGTCGGTGGTATCTGGTACTGAATTGTAGCAGTATAGTAGTATAGGAGAGAAAAATAAAGTCATGCATCATCGTGTGTGACAAGTTGAAACATCGGGGTGATACAAATCTGAATAAAAATGTCATGCAAGTTTAAACATAATGCCTCTGTAAGGATAAATCCTAGTACATTGT